CCCCCCCCCCCCCCCCCCCCCTCCAAACGCCTCCCAGGTGATCAACAAGGCCGGGCACGGCACGGCAGTGGACTGGTGGGGGCTCGGCATGCTCATGTACGAGATGCTGACGGGCCTTCCCCCGTGGTACACGAAAGACAGGCAGAAGCTCTTCGAGCGGCTTAGGGGGGCGCCCCTCGTGATTCCCAAGAACGTGTCGGCCCCGTCGGCAGGCATCATCGGCGGCCTGCTGACGAGAAATCCGTCCAAGAGGCTGGGCACGCTCGGAGCGCTGCAGGTGCGTTTATCGCCCGTCCGTTCGTTCGGTAGTTGTTGGTTTTGTGTTTGTTTTGCTTGCTTGTTGCATTAGCATCGCCCGCGCTCAACGACGATCGATGCACTATTTAGCACATCCTTATACACGACAGGTGGTGGTAACACCATGCCACCCTACTATTTAGCGTCCCTAACCATGCATACAAATCGGCAGGTGATCACAAAACCATGAGTATACACACATCCCTACCGTGCGTACCCACATTCGGCAGGCGATGCAACGATGTCACCCTACTTTAAATAGTAAATCCTCAGCCAGCGTGCCCACACGCGACAGGTGATGAAATAAAACCATGCCACCCTAATAGCAACAACATCCCTTTGTACAATGCGTACCCCCACAATCGGCAGGTGATGAACCACGACTTCTTCAGGGGCCTCGATTGGGCCGCCCTGCTGGCGAAGCGCATTCCGGCCCCCCTTAACCCGTGCCGCAACCAGAGACAGGGGTCCGAGTCGACGCACAACTTCGACCCCCAGTTCACCCGCATGCCCATCGACACCATGGCCTTGGGCGGCGGGATAGTTTCCCCGGGGCCGGACGGGCACTTCGACGGTTTTACTTACGAGGTTCCGGGGGTGATCCTGGAAGGCGACCGGTGAAATTTTGCGAAATACAAAGGGGGGGGGGGGAGGACATATGCTTTTGTTTTTTGTCCCTCTTTTTTTGATAGGTGTGCATGCTTGCGTATCCAAGAAGGAGGGTGTCTGTTTTCTTCTTGCCGTTTCTCTCTGTCTGACTCGTGGAATTGTTTCCCCACCAGCCGCCGCCGCCACCACCGCGCGGGTGTGTTGAGCGCGTGTTCTGAGAAAAACAAAAGAAGAGGGATCGATAGACCAACCGGAACCATACAGGTGTTGCTGAAGGGCTGCTGGCTCAACTACTGTCCGTTTTCAGCTGGATGTTTTCGGCTGGAATTTTCCTGGGTTGGAGTGCTGTTAGAGGCGATTTTTTGTTCTGTTTGTTTGCCCGTTCACCCGAAAAGTTTTTTTTTTTGCCGCAGATGGATGTGGTTTGGGTCGGCGGTGATCGATGATTTTCCCTCAAGAACTGAAGAAGAAAGGAAGGCTCGTAACAAATCAAAGGAACACATGAACAAATGAACAAATCCAACGCTTTTTCCGGGAGTGGTTTCTGTGTTCTCTGCATACAGGCTTGGGTTGGAGGGGGTTGGAGGGGGGGGGGGGGGTACGTGGGTGGTTGGAGGGGGTTTGCTTGCTTTGTCCGCCGACCGACGCGCTCTGTACGTGTGCGTGTGTGTGGCGTTCAGAGCTGAGGAAGAGGTTCGGTACGAAGTGATGGGTGCTTGCCTTTGTGTTCCGAGTTGTGTACGACGTGTGTTCCCGCTGCTGTTGTACAGCTAGGGTTTCCTCACGAGCTGGCAGGCTTTTTTCGCGCGTGGGGAGCTGTCGTTTGGCGACGGAGCGGCAGCGAGAGGTCGGGAAGGCACCGGCAGTGGGGGCTTCCACCTGTCTGTCTTGAGGCTGTCCCTGGGGTGCTATGAGGCGATGGCCACGCTCTCACCGAAAGCAAGGCGGGTCGAGGGAGGGGTCGAGGAGTAGTCTGTTGTGTACTCATACTTGTTGCTTTTCGAGCATTTATCCTCGCATCTCTGACGAAGGATCCAGGATCTCTCCGAGTCCAAGAAGGGCGACCTGCAACGGTTTTGATGTCTTTGTTTTTGTTCCGGATTCGGGGGGCATTACACATTTCCTAGATATGTATATGTCATAATCGATGCATCTCGCATGCAATCAAGCAGGGATAGTGTCGGTTGCTTACCATGGGCGATCACCAAAGCAGTAGGGGGAAGGTTACTGGCCCCCGTTTAGGGGTATGCAGCAGCAGTAGCAACAGTAGCGGCAGCGGAGTGAGTGTCGACTGCATAGCCTGTGCCCGCGTGCGCTTTGTTTTCATCGTTGTTGGGGAGAAAAGAAAAAGGGGACGGTTTATGCCATCGATGTTTAGAGGAGTTCATCCCTTTTCGTGCTCTGGTCTCTCTTGTCTCTGTCTCTCGCTTGCTCGCTCGCCGCGGGAAATTTCCAAGAAATTTCGCCCGCTCTGCGCGACGTGATTCCTGTCGTAGGTGTTCTCTCTCGGCTGTCGGAAGTGAAAACTGTTCTTTGCTGAATTCGAAGACCGTACCCTGATGAGGCCGGGGATAGCTAGGGAGGATGGGGAAAGAGGAGGAGAATTAGAAATGTCTCGATCAAGCCCAAGGCTTGCTGTCGGTGGGTGTGCGGACCGGTGTTCGAGTGTGAGGCGTGGCGAACGAAATTGTGTTTGTTGTTGTTGCACAGCGACCGGTTGGTCTCGAAGCGTGCCAGGGCACGCCTTTCTCCGAACGAGCAACAGCACGTTTAGTGGCGGAGGAAAGCGACTGCTGCTGCTGTTGTTGCTACTGCTGCTGCTGCTGCTGCTTCTTCGCGTATGATGGCATCGGAACCGTCTCGCAGGGACCACACGCGTTTGGTTGTGGACGCAAACGGCCAGCTGCGTGCTTGCAGGGTGTGTGTGTGTCCGGTCTTGTCGTCCAAGATGGAGAGAGGTCGTGACTCATGTGCCGTGCGACCGGGCAAAAGAGGGGCTTACGTGGGACTAGTGTTTTTGGTTGTTGGGGGTGGTGGTGGTAGTGCTATCTTTGTTGTTGGTGGTGATGAGAGTAGTAGACGTGGTGGTAGCAGGTGGTTGCGGCGGTGGCGGCGACGGCTGTGTGCAGTGATTGGATTTGATTGGTTGAAGTTGACGACGGTCTTCTTCTTGCCCTCTTATCTCGGCCGCCGCGAGAGAGCAAAGAAAAGGAATACGCGCGCGTGATGATCTCAGTTGTTGCCTGTTTTTTTGTTTTTTTACTTATAGACTTTCCGTTTCCAAACCTGACCTGCTCCCCAGAGGCAGCAGCGAGACGGCAGGGTCGCGCTCGAGGACGCGCTATCTATTGCGTTGTTTATTGTTGGATCACGTTTGGAGAATCCGCCACGACTTATGTTTCGGGCTGATGACTTTCTCTCTCAACTCGTCGGCAAGATTTTCCACGCACGGAAACGGCAACCAGCGGTTGCGACGGAAGTACAAAGTATCGAGGTCGTGGTGTGAGCTCGACGTGGTACAAGAACGCGGAGAAGTCATGCGTTTAACGTACGTCGAAGAGTGTCGTGCTTTTGGGCGAGAAAATTGCGCGTTGATGCTGCCGGACGGTGTTTAGGTCGACTTCGCCGCGACTCTTCGGCTTCTCTTCATGCTCGGTAGGTCCGCTCGAATTTAGTGTCCTTCTTCTCTTTTGGGATTTCTTGCTGCGGGAGGCGTTTTTTTTGTTTTGTTTTGGTGTATCTTCTAGCGGCCGCTATCTGCTGCCCGCCACGCGCAGCAGCGGCAGCACTTGCGTCTGATGTGGGGCAGCGACGCGTCTCTCTTCGGGGGCGTTGTTCAGGGCGGCTAATGTATACTGTTGGCCCGGGGAAGGACTCCCATAAGCGGTTGGGGGTGCCGTGTGTGGTGTCGGATCTTGATTTGGTCTGTCGTGCTGCGTTTCTCTTTTTCTCGAAACGGGCCAGCCAGCCAGCCAGCCAGCCAGCGGTCGGCTGTGTCGCGCTCGCTCGAAGTTTAGGAAGCTTGTCGCCGCCGCAGCGGCCCGGCGCCCCGCCGAAGCGTTGGGGGGTGGTCATTCCGAGTACTGCTGTTCTCACTCGGTGTGACCTCTTCTCACTCGGTGTGACCTCTTCGTTCTTCTTGCAACAAAGACCAAAGTTCCAAATTTTGAGCAAATTCATGACCACCGGAAGATTGATGCACGTACGGTGTGCATGTGTAGTTGTATTCCCTAGCCGTGGGGGGGGGGGGCCCCCCCCCCCCCCCCCCCACGCCCCTCCCGTTTAATCCCCGCTGCGACTTCGATATGCACGTGCCGCAATCTGCTTGCTGCGTGCGCGTTTTGGTGTTCTGTTGTGGTCCTTGTGAGACACGATGAGGCGGTGGCGGTGAAAGTTGACGAGACCACCTCCAAACCACAGAAGAAGAAGTGGGCCCCGATGTTGTGGTGTTGTTGGATGATACACGGAGGAATCAGTCAGAGGGAAACAAACCGTGGTGGGCAGGGGCAGGGGCAGGGGCAGACAAAGGGTGACGGGTGCCGACGTCAGGAGTGCCATGTGGGTTTGGTTGCCAAGGGACAAACAATCATTTTTTAGGGGGTTTCATGAAGGGCCCAAACAAGCGACGCATGTACGTATTCAAGTCGACAGGAGATCCTGATGTAGTACCACGATACTCCCGAACACGAGCACCTACCTCCCAAAGCGACCCTTGTGTACACCCGGTGCGAAACGACTACATTTGTTTGTCTGTTGCGTATTTACTTTGTTGTTTGGAGGGGGACGGGGGGGGCGCAATTTTACAGCCTGTCTATTTCGGTCTTTATTTTTAGAACGCAGAAGATCTCGAACCCCCTGGTTTGGTATATATACTACAGGTCGGACTCTTTGTTGGATGCGGTCAAATCAACGATTGTTTCAGTGTCATTCTCGCCTGGTACGCCTGTAGATGTCGCCACTCTCACAAGAGCAAGTACGGTGCCTTTGATTTTGCGGCACGCGCGGTGGCGCTGTCGGGAGAGAGACGTCGGTCCGCGTCTATTTAGGGGCAGCGCTTGCTTGCTGCGCACAGGCAACAACGGCTACCGGATGGATTTCGACACACAAACACAGCAGTAGAGGAGGAGGATGCTGCCATTTGTTTTTTTTCTCAGCCTGGAAAAACGGTCGCCTCTTCATTTTTGCGCGAGACATGGCGTCTTTTGTCTTTGAATTCACGTTGATATTTGAGGCTAAAATGATACAATATCTACGATACGTTTGAAGTTGATTTCGATGGAACAAGCGCGTAGATTTGCAGTGGTTGGGGGGCATAGACACGTACGTCGAGAGGGTGGGTGGGTGGAGGCTGGATAGAAGGGGCGAGGGTTACCGGAGGGGTTTGGCGTCGAGGAAGGGGAAAAGGGGGCGCTCGTTGACTCATGTCGGTCAGAGCATCACCATCATCAGCTCTGCGATTGATTCTCTACGCTCGGATAGTGCTATTATTATAGTATCTCTATAATGATCGGTGTGTTTCGTCTTAGGTGTGTCTTTGGGTCTGTCTCCGATTTTTGACGAAGATGCCGATACTACCGCCGCCGTGCTGCCCTTCGTCTCCGACGTGGTGCTGGCCGGATGGCTACTAGTCTAATGACCTCGGCAATAAAAAAAAAACCCACACGCACACAGGTGGACGGAGGGGCGGCTGTTGATGTTGCTACCGTAGTTTCCCCTCCGTTGGGAAGGCTTGTCACCAGTAGGTGCTCTCTCCAAGCCTCTGCAGGCAATCTGTTCTCATCCGCGGAGGAATCCCTTCGCGGTTGCATGATGGGTAGTCTTTCTGTGTGTGTTTTTATTATTCCTTAATGATTTGGACATTGTTCTATTGCGGGATGGTTGTCGACGATGTAAGTTGGGATACTCAGTAAAGACCTCACTCAGCACATCCCCTTCGACTGCGGTATTATCTCGAACGGGTGGTCTTTCTGTGAGGTTACGTATACTTTCTAAAAACAAAACGAGGCCTCGGGCGACGGGATGGGATCC